TAGAGAGGTTGAGGCGCACGTATTTAGCCCAAAACGTGTACGGGTAACGGGTGAGCGCCGCCATCTGGCAGTTCTGGACCGTCGATAATGGTGTTTGCTACGTGTAGCTTGGTGAGTACACGATCGGCTTAAACGTCTTCATTTTTTTGTGTTTGGGGTTAAAATTATTATTTATTTTGCTTCCGCCATTTTTTTCAACTTATTTCCCGTGAGTCAATGCGCGATGTTCACTGAGTCACGTGATGTTATGAATGTGTGCCTCAACGATTTTTACTTGGACTTGAAACGTGTAACGTGTACTTCTGCTACCCATACACGTTTAATGTTTGAACTTGTGCCTCAACCTCTCTACTGTCTTTTGACATTAAGATTCTTCTATTATGACAAAATTAGCAAGTACTTCAGTATTGCATTGATGTCTTCTTCAATAATTCTATAAACGATACTGTCTTTCAGTATCAGAGAAGATGTAAATGCAATATTTGAAAATCCTTGCTACTTCTGTTATAGACAAACAGGATTATAATTACATAATGTTATGTTATATCTAAATGATTATTTTATTTGATAGCCTACAGAAGGACTGTTCAAACCGTCCAAATTATGTTCAGTTGTTACAGCATCCTTTTATTGTTCGTCATGCAGAGATGTTAACAGACATCAGCTCCTATATATCTCGCATATTAGATGATTCAGGAGATGCAATAGATGGTAATTCTGCTAATGCAGTTCCACAATGACCACATCTGTATATTAATATGAAGAAAAATTGTATATATACTGAATCTATTCATTAAATTGCATTAAGTCACAGGTTTAATTGCCAGTTATGTTCAGCTGCTTGTTTGTTGAGAACAAATTTCTTTAAATTGTTTTTCTTACTATATCAAAAAAAGAAGCAATTATTGTTATATTTAATCGTAAAATTTTATATTATGAAAAGGATTTATATCAAAAGCAGCTGCGTGCTCTGAATTGATACTTAATTATTGGTACAACATTGATTAAAGTGAGTGCATAAGTTAAATAATTTTAAAATCTGTCAGAAGCAAATTACTTTTTTAACAGATGATCATGTTAGAAAAATGTAATAATTTTAAAATTATTTGTCATTCATATTAATGAATATTTTTTAATGCAATTTTAGATTTTTTTGGAATGAATAGTTTAATAGAGCCTAAATGCAAAATTAAAAATTATTTCAAATATATTCAATATATCATTTTGCTATCTGATTATATTGCTTTTTTTTTATAAATATATCTGTTATATTGTACTGTACATACTACAAAATTTGATTTTAAATCTGTAGTTATGCAATTAATGTAAGTAAATCCAATAAGAATTGTTTTAACAATTGTGATTTTTTTTTTCTTTCTTAATAATAATAATATACATGTTTATCTTAGAAAAATTATTATTATTTCTTCATAAATTTTTAATTGCATAAAAAATATATATAGAAAAATTAATCATTTCAAATTATATGATTAGCAAAAAATGCTAATAAAAATAATAAATTTCGATAATTTTAAAAATTGAAATCTACTCTCTACATTTTATAATGCTTGTTTTAATCTACAAACTATCATGAAAATCAATTGTATGTCATAGAAATATACAATTTTTTGGTTTTATTGCTAAAATAATACTGCATTAATTTTTAAATTGATATTATTTTGCTTCAAATTTTATGTCAACAAATTGGGAGAATGATAATTATGCAAAAAATAGTTAATGTCAAATATAAACAATAAACACAAGATAGAAATACAATTAAGCAATGAAGCTGGACTATTCACAAGTATGATCTGGTGTTCTTAGATTAAAATGTGCTTATATTTGTTAGTATTATTGTAGCATTGTGTATTTCTATGCTTGTTTTAATGTTTGTAGTAGTATTCTATCAGTTGACATATCTATTGTTTATTTTTAAGCTGAACTCTTGTAAAAATTATAAAATTTATCATATTTAAAAATAATTATAACATATAAATTTGAAATGATTAAATTTTTATATAAAATGAACTAGGATCTTTAAAATTATGGTCTGTTTAGTTAAAAATTTATAAATCTGTGTTTAATAATAATAATGTGCCATGTTTGTTTTTGAATAATCAGCATCATTAAAAGTTATTTTATAGTAATTGTGCAATATCATTTGTTGAATATTTGGATTCAAGAATGTTAAAAGGCAACCATATTTTACCCGATAATTGTTTTAGATACTTGTATTATATTTGTTTAGTATTATTACAGAATACGTAAAATTTATTAAACATATTTTACAGTGCCTTTGATAATAAATATCATGTAAAATAACAAATGCAATTTTATCTTAATTTGTTGCATAAATCCTATTTAATGTATAACATTGTATAGTTATTAGCAAATAAGTCATTGTATAGATTAATCATTTAAAATGAAGTCCTCAAATCCTGCATATGCACAAATTCTTTAACTCCTCTGATAGCTGTTATATGTCTAGCATAATGTATGCTACCAATCGAAATTAATTAAAAAAGCAATGTTATAAATTTCAGTAATTGGTTAAAGTTAAGGCTATATTTTGTTTATTACTTATTAAATCAATTATAAATTTTTTGTTCACTTTTAAACTTTTAAATATAAATTTATTAATAATATTTTTTCAAATGGAATAGAGGAAAAAAATTGTGATATATAAATATATATATAATTAAAATTTCAGATTGCTTTAAGTACAAATATGTCCTGAATTCCAATGCAATAATACTTTTCTATATTTTTTTTTTCCTGATATTTTGAAGTACTGTATACCTATAAATCTATAAAATGATAGATATATGCAAAATAGAAAATATTCTTCTGTAGAATATTTTCAGTGACGTGTGTTAAAATTCTTCCCTAAGTCTTGCAAAATTGAGGAGTTAATGAAAAGACAACAAACTTGTATAAACTTCAAACTGTTTTCCTACTTGCAATTGCCAGAAAATTGTTAAAATATGTAAACTTTTAAATATTTTTGTTTCCAGTATAATATTTTATATAGCGGAATAAATTATAAGTAATATATCCATTTTTGTCTTAAATGTCAATTAACTGCTCATAAAGTCGATATGTTTAATTACATGTTTTGTTTTTATGTTATAGAAAAATGTTAGATTATTGTTCATTTGTATTATCCATATAAGTACATTTAATAAAAGATATTAAAGAAATTTATTTTATTAATGAATAGAGAAAGTTAATGCTTAACAATTTATTTTGTGTGTGCCATATTTTTTATTATGTAATATCATATATCAATTTTTAAATTCTTCTAAGACCAAATTTCTATCAATAATAATTAGATTTATTGAGGAAAGATCTCAAAAGCAAATTGTTAAATTAGTTTCTACTACTACTTTCCTGAAAAATGTTCTTACTTATTTTAACAACTGAATTAACTATAGCAATATGTTAATTGTATATTATCCACACGTATCATTTGCATCCCAGCAGATGCTCTGTGACTTTCCTTTCCTCCCTCTTTTCCTTCTCACTCCCTTCCCATCCCACCTCACTCTTTACTTTACCTATCCTTCTTTCATTCCCAAGGCTATACCATTGAATCAGGGTTTTCCTTTAACATCAGGGTTTTCCTTTAACATCCTATCCTATAACAATATGTTAGGAAATAGTGACAAAACTGTACATCTTTAAAAAAGTTTATGAATTTATTAATAGTTTTGCCACTAAAATCAAAATCTAAACATAAATATTAAATTTTAGAAACTGATATCATAATCATTATCATTCTTTTTTTTAGTTTTGATAAATACAGCTTACCGGTAATTTCTTTAATGCAAAAACAGTTTTGTTGATATTCACATCATAAATGTGGATCTGAAAACACAATGCATATTTGATAACTGTATTATAGTTACTATGTAGATAAAGTTTTCTGGAAATTTGTCTTATTAGCTGAGAAGTTTTTTAACATAAAGTAAAAATACTTATCATTATATTTGGGAAGGTTAGGTGAAAAAAAGTGCTGCTAAAAATATACATAGAACACACAAAACTTGTGAAAATAATAGAAAATTGGAATCGGTCAACTTTTGGAATATCTTCCCATCAGTTTGTAGTTTTGGTCATTCTCCATGGTCAACCACAGAATATGAGAAAAGTAAATCTTTAAACTGTGAAAATTCTCAGCATCAACAAATGAGAGCAGCTTTATATTGACACTCAAATTATATTTTCACTATCTGGATTTTTGCTCAGTGAGTATTTGTTTCTCTAAAACAAATATACCCAATTGGTTTTTGGTAGATAACCATTTTACTCAAGCTTAGAAACTGAATTGCACAGCTTCATTTTTCGACAGACTCTTGAGTTTTGTTGTAGCTGCTGAAGACTATCTGGTTTATCAATGAATGCCCCTATGAATGAAATTGACTGCATAAAACGAGCCACTTGAATCCACATGTCCCATCTGGTTATTACAGGGTGTTTTGGAGTGGCAAACCAGCTATCTTTTTATATAGATGTACTGTACATTCATAGATTTTTAATCAAAGCCATTTTTCATTTCTAAAATGAAATCATTGGTCCAAGAAAATTTTACAGTAATTGCTTCACATATCTTGTTAATTTAATTAAGGTAATGACAAGTGCTGTTTAGGATTTGAATACATCAACTTTATATTTGAGAATGTATGGGTACCTGGTCTGTTACAAATAACCACTTTTTCATATGAATGAGTTTCACAATCTGGTGCATAAATCATTGAAGGAATGCTTAATGGTTGTGAAATTTGTTTTTCTTCTAATTTGTAAACTCTAACAGCATGGGTTCTGACTCTCCTGTTAATTTAAGACCAATAAGAATGTTCAGTACATACCTTTTTTAGCACATCTCTTGTTTGCTCCAAGATTAAAAAAAAGTAGGAAACAACCCAGTATTTTTTTTTAAGTTGCTTCCTATGCAGGCTGCACATAGCTCTTCTTTAGCATGCTTTGATCAGAAATTGTATGCTTCATATACTTTTCTAGAATTTTTGAATTCTGGATGATTACCTTGTTAAGAGCAATGTTGATCTATTAAAGCTGTAGCCAGTTCATGCAAAAATTCATTCTTACATTGTACCTTGCAGAATTTAATGATGACAAAATAAAACTTCTCCTTTTTTTCATTCATATTTCCAACAGGAAAAGAAGAAAGTTTTATATTTTTAATGTGCTGTTTAACCTGTGAAGAGAGATGCTTTTCATCCAGTTCACATCTCAAAATACTATTATCAGTTGTAATTCCATCATCTTTAATTAAAACTATTTACTAACTCCTTCAGTTTTGACTTTATCTTTTTAAACTTGGTAAACTATAGTGTCATTACCAGTCATCTTATCCCTTCCTCACCTTTGTGAACAATGAAATTGTCATTGTTGCAATGATGAATATCATGAAATCTTATTAATTATTGCTTAAAATCATATAATTCTTATAGCCAGCAATTGATATCAAGTATTATCAAAATACTGAGTTTTTAATAGATACTGTAATTTATTGTTATTGATAAAATTCTATGATTAAACAGTTTTTTCGATATCACTGTATTCTGTTTCTAAGACCTAGAATTCCTACAAATTTTATTCATTCGAGATTAAAAAAAAAGAATAGTAAAAGCAACTAATATTCAGGCCAATACAATATATTAAAAAATTTAAATATATTTACAGAACTTTCCAATGAAGTTCTGCACTTTTTAAAACTCTTTGTTCTGTGGGCAATTTTAGTAAACCCATTATGGGTTCAGCCAGCCAGGCCGGGTGGTAAGGGACAGGGCCCAACACCTGAAAAATTCCTGCAGTTTTTTAACCTGCTGGGATTCATTCTCAAGTCCCCGGAGTAGTAGGCTGTTATCTTAACTGCTTGGTGGTCTATCAGCTGGGCCATGTTCCTCACCATGTAGATGCCCCCCAATGTGGGCCTGGCCACAAAAAAACCAATACCTATAAAAACTAAAATATATTAAGATTACTGTGGTTTTTTTTGTATACTGTACTATATTTTCTTGTATATAATCCATTGGTAATCTGTGCTTAGAAGAATTTGAATTTTAAAAGAGTATAACCAATATCTCCCTTTCAATTACAAATTTATGCCTTTGGAGTAATAAAGATTTTATTTCTTATTCTAACAATTTTCTATGAGGTATATGCCAGCATATGGGTTATATGTAAAA